TCAGAAGTACATTAAAAAGATCATATGACCAAGTGATTTATTCTTGGGATGCAATATTGGTTCAATATCTACAAATCAGTTAATGTGATACACCACATGAAATGAAGGATAAAAATCATATGATTATATCAGTAGATGCAGAAAATGCATTTGACAAAATCCAGCATCCATTTATGATAAAAACTTTCAACAAAGTGAGAAATAGAGTAAGTATCCCACAACATAATAAAGGCCATACATGACAAAACCACATCTAACATCCTCCATGGAGAAAAGCTAAAAACCATTTTACTCACGGTAGGAATAATACAAAGATGGGCACTTTCACCACTTTTATTCAACATAGAATTTCTCAAATCCTAGTCGTAGCAATCAGACAAAAAAAGAAACAAAGGCGTCCAAATTGGAAATTCTTTACAATTGTTATTCTTTAGAGATGACATGATTTTATATAGAGAGAACACTAAAGATTACACACACACACAAAACTATTAGAACTGATAAATTCAGTTAAGTAGCAGGCTTAATTTTCTGAAATGGATTGCATTTTTGTACACAAGTAATGAACTATCAGAGAAATTAAGAAACATAGACTTGCTTCTAGTTACAAAATGTCGATTGTACTAATATAACATAGGGTGGTATGACCTAACAGTAGTTGTGGATAGATCCAAGGGTAACTAGTTGACTGTACTTTAAACAATAGACAAAGTTTGATTTCTATAGAAGTGTTAGAATTTCAAGTTCCTCTTTCAGCATCATTATGGGCTATATACTTTGAGGTTCCTCCCATTACAATAAAACTGGATCCTAGATAAGAGACAGCAAGCACATTTTTAATGCATTGCTGCTTTTTCAACACAAAAGAGCAGCAAAAACAAGGAAACAAAAACAATTGAAACCAAGGTTTGAGCAGAAAATATGAAAGCTTTTGGTGGCCTTGAGACTTTTACAAGTATTAGATCTGATTAGAGACTAATTGAGCCTTAGTAAGAAGAGAATTGGTAAACAAAGATGGAGCTGAATGAAGAAGTTATCCAGATTGCAGTACGCAAAGGGTTACAAAAAATGTTGAAGAGGTTTAAAAGTATGGGCGAAATACTTATAAAATCTAATGTACATCTACTTGGAATCCCAGGAAAATTAGAATGTGAGAATAACAACATTGAAAATAGTGGCCAAAATTCTCCATAATTGATGAGACATAAATGTACATATACAGAAAGCACCATACATATCAAGTTGAATGTTATATTGGAACACCAGAAATAGACAAAATGCTAGAAACACCCTGAGAAAGGTAAACCCTCCTACAAAGAAGCAGCAGAATGACAATGACAGTGGAAGCCAAAACACAGTAAACTGATATTCTCACAGTAAAATAATAAATCTGTCAATGGTATCCAGCAAACCGTTTTTCAAGAAGATATAAAGAGGTGGTCAGATTAAATGCAAGTGGTGACTGCTAGGAGACCTTTACTAAATAGAAAATTTCTAAAAGGATACATACATCAGAAAGATGGAAAATGACCTTTAATTCTTCTGAAATGTAAAGGTGAACAGAGAAAATGTTTCCTAGGTTGGAAAAGTCTATTTTGTTATGGCCTATACAGCTGTCAAAAATGTAACATTGTACTTTGAGAAGGTGAAGTGGAGTTTCAAAGGTGTAGTGTAAATTGCTTTGTACTCTCCAGAATTCATTCCATCACCTTTTCATTTTGTAGCTGCCGTATGGTTTTTGACCCAGAGTTAACAACTGGGCCCTGATTAGTGTAATGTAGTCATAATAATTCCATTCTTGCTAATTTGGTTGATTCCAAGCCCATGGCCTTTATCTTGATATCCGTTATTGATTCAGATATGGCAAGAAGGAAAAGACTTCTTTTCAAGTCAGTGCATGCAGGCACCCTGGGGAAACCTAGATTGCTTGTTATTATGGTAAAAAATATACCTTAATGTGAAGTCTACACTATGAATAGCAGAGCTGTTACAAAAAATGTTGAGAGGTTCAAAAATGAGAAAAGAAAAACAATTAAAAAATTTGGTCTCTAATGATTTCAAGGTGTTACTAAATCATCCAGCCCTAAAATTTATCCCATTTCTAGACTTCATTTTATGTGAGATTGTAGTTTGAATTTACATAGTTTATAGGATTATAATTTCTTGTTTAAATGCCACCAAACTCCTACCTTCAAAAAATAAATTAGACTACATTAATACAAGTATAATTTCAATTCTGTTCCAGGAGATGTAGACTCTTTATGCTGCTTTGGCAAGACTAGAGTAATTTTAGTTATCATGTTTAATTGAAGCACATTGGCAAATTAGTATGCCCAGAGAAGATGACAGAGTGATGAGGGGTGTGAAAATCAAAATCATGAAATGTTACTGTATGATCAGTGTTTACGGTATTTTGTACAAATTGGCTTGGTATAAGAAGATATTGAAAAGATTTGGTAACAGCATTAAAATATTTAAATGGCTCTCATTTAGTGGAAGATTTAGATTTGTTTTGCATTTCGGTGGTCAGAACTAATTCCAATCAATAGGAATTTTGGAGAGGTATAAGAAAGTTGTGATCAGTGTAAGAAATTTTCTAATATCACTGTCTGAAAATGGAAGTAAAGGAGTGTGACAGTGAAGATCAATTAGTGGAGACTTGGCGAATAAATATTTTTCCTAAAATTATTCTAACAGAAGACTTCTATAACTATACCACATTTAACAAATTTTTTTCTGCGTGGAGTAGGAGGTTGGATTATATTAATTTCAAAACCCCTAACATTTTATTATTCTATTTGCTGATCCAATTATTATATTGGTTTTCAACTCTTTTTGGTCTCAACACTTCTTTTTAGAGTAAATTTTTGGTGATGTCTCCTTACTATCTAAAAATAAAATTTATAATGTATATAGTCTGCTCATATAATATTTAGGAAATAAATATGAATATAATATAAAGTAGAAATAAAATGACAGTAATTTAAAGTGAAACTCTACAATCATATATCTGAAATGTAAAAAAATTTTAAAATCAATCATTTTTTACTGAGTTAGGCATAGACTTATTGGCAGCAAAACCTGATCTTAATTGACAGAAAGCTAATGATAATTTTTACCCAATTAGTGAATTCCTGTTTCACTGCAAAAATATTAGCAGTTGTTACAGAATCTACTGTCAGTGTTACTTAATATATTTTTAAATCCAAACAAATTCTGAATTCTTAAAATATCTCCTCCAGAGGGCATTGGCTAAAATATTTCAAGATGTGCATGCTGCGTGATGACTAATTTATAACATTTAAGAAAGTAATTATGTGGTTGCATTTTCAATTAATGTTTGCAATCACGAGAAGATGACAAGCCATTCTGTTCAAGAAATACTGGAAGGTGAAAGAGCAGACCATGCTGTGCTACATGGGACAAGTAATACCAGACCCTATTTATTAGAATATGAGAGAAGGGGGAAATAACTTCATTTGACAATAATGTGCCTAAACAAGTTATATACTGGTGAAGTGGAGAAATGAGGAAATACAATATTTTTAACTGATCTGAGCTTCCTTAATAAGATATATATATATGGTCTCTATATATATCAGAGTCACATTGAAAAACAATGAATAAAATTTTATAATTTTAATATATAAATTGTTATTAATGAAGTTTAATGAGATTACATACCTGGTTCTAACTCTGTTAAAAATACTCTGTGACCAGTTCACAGAATATTTTATTTTATAAGTACTACTACTGCTCAGAAACCCTTTTCAACTAAATCTGTAGTTGAATATTACATGATACTTTAAAAAGACAAAACCCACAATATATTATTGAATAATTTAGAGATAACCACCTATAAAAATATTTGATAATAGTACATAGCAATGTATATTTATAATGGGTTTAATCCACAGAACATTCAAAAGTTGCATGGGATATAGAATAATATTTGATATTTTACAGAATATATTTTAAGAATAAAAATAGATTGTATTAATTTTTACCTTTTGTCTCTATAATAGGAGCTATTTTTTGTTTTGTTTATTGTTTTTGGAATTTTTACCATCTTTTCATGTCTGGTTCTACCCTTGTATGTTTTAATGATTTATGTCTGCCTTTCTTGTCTTACTAGCAATCATGTGTCATTTCATTGAGCATGTAATACTTACAACATGAATACATACTTAAATAATACAAAATTTACTAGTTTCCATTGTCTAACCAATAAGTTGTACACCAAAACCAATACATAATATAAAGAAAGAAATAAACAAACTAAAAATATAAAAGAAGAGTTTAAGGAGAAATTAATGTGTGTTTTAAGGAGCCAAGTTTTATGTCTGGTAATGCCCAGAAAGAAATTTGAGCATTTCTTGTTCTTGTGTGTAAGGGTCTTTCGTAGTCAGAATTTAGTGTTAATAAAAATGAGACACAGTGGTGGGAAGATAACAATTATATGACACTGGTTACTTTATTTTCTTAGCACTTAATAAATTGTGGTTTGAAGTCTCTTTGTTATGTAGTATGGTATTTAATTAAATTTTATAAGCTAATTACTAGTGCTCTGCTTTGTAGGCTACTATTACAACTAGAATAAACTGTGAAACCTTTTTTTAGAGGCAATATAAGCACTAACATTTTGGCTACCATTTTCGTTTCATCAAAACAGGGCAAGTCTCTTTTTTGAAAGCATTTGTAAAATTATTTAATGCATTTTAATTTATCACTAGGTGTGTAGGAAAATGCTGTTGCATTAGTATATGACAAGTCTTAGATCACCAGTTATTTTGAGAGTCTACTATGAACAGTGTATCTCTTTTTTGGTAACTTTTTAACAAAGTCACAAATCCTTGTGTGTTTCATCCATTTTAAACTCTTTTACCTGCGATTTTCACCCCCAAAGAAAAGTTAGTATGTACCATACTGTCAAAGGCTTATTAAAGTATATTTGCATTGCGTATTTTAAAATATTAGTTATGCCTTATATTTACCACATTGCAGTTCTTTAGTGAAATAGATATTCCATAATGTCTTTTTATTGTGGTGTTGCACTAGAACTTCTCACTTCCTCTACTTAGTGGATAAATGATTATTTGCAAAACTGTTGAAACAAAGATTAACGAAGTTAGAAATATTTTGTATTATAATAACTATCTCATACAATTTTTAAAAAATATGATAATTTGTATATGCATATCTACTTTTTAGAAGGAATCTTCAAGGGGGAGACATAGGGAAAAGGAAGACATAAAAATTACCAAGGAGAGAACTCCAGAAAGTGAAGAAGAAAACATAGAATGGGAAACTAACAGAGATGGTGAGTTTCAAAAAAAAATTTTTTTTATACAGTCAGTTTTTTATTATTCATTTCACAGACTTTTTGTGGACTTCAAGCACTTTTCAACTGATCTTTCTTTTGGTAGAAAATGGCATATAGTAGCTGAACAAAGGCAGAAAAACTGTTTACATTGCATTTTTCATATTCCCAACCTTTTTTTCTTCCTTGAACTTTATTGTATACCATTACAGTCCTTTGGAATTTTATTACATTTGTAAGGTTTCAGTTCCTCAACATTGAGGTTTAAAAATTAAATCTAAATTTATGTTTGTTGTTTTTCATAAGGTATTAAAAGATTTTTTTAAATGTTAAGGACCTAGGAAAATTATTTTTAAGGAATTGTTGACTTTCATCTTTCAAAAGAGATCCAAATCTGATAATAATTGAGACCTGGGATTTGTTCGTGAAAATTTAGCAAAATCATCTTTGAGTCATTGCCTTAACAAATAAGCATTTATTTTCCACACCATGAATGTTCTTCACTTCCATGACTTTTTAAAAGGTGAGCACTCACACTACTGAATGTAGAGAAAGGGAACTCATTTGTTGAATGTGTTGGGTGTGCTAAGCATTTTAATATAATTTATATAATTACTTCATTAATTCAATAACTTTGCTACTTCTCCTTATAAATGACATAGCTAAAGAGTTTAAGAACTTAAGTAATTTCTCAGCAGAAAGCTGAAAACTTAGACCAAGATTTATAAAATTCTAGGTTGTGGACCAGACAACTCTTTTTGCTTTATTGGAACATAGCCATACCTATTTGGTTACATATTATTCTGTGGTTGCTTTGGAGCCACCATAGTTGATTACTTGTGAAAGCCAAGACCCTGCAAGCCTAAAGTAGTTACTCCTATAATTAAGAACAGTCTCTCAAAACTTATATAGACTAATACTTGAATTGTACCCTAAATGCCTCTCCAGTAATTTGAATATCAGAACTTTTTAAGGAAATTTATTCCATCTTTGGGCAGCATTGTCTGTCGAAGAGTTGCTTCTAATAACAAATAGGAAACTTTCCTATAATTAGTTCCTTGGAATTTCATAAGCCAATCTAATACAGCTGTTATGTTCCATTATGGTAGATCAATTAGTTAATATAGTGAAATAAAATATTACAAACCTTGACTCTTTAATATTGGATAGCTAACTTTTCCTGAATAGTAAGGAATTAACTCTTAACATACCCAATAGTCTTTTATTTTTATTTAAATTGATTTTGGATTTTAAAAAATTCTGAGGTTTATCAGATAGGAAGTATCTTTAAAAATTTCTCTATTTCTGTCACAATAATGCATGCATTTTGTTTAAAATTTAAAAGGTTCAAGTTAGTTTTCTCTATGTTTTCATAGTAGCTATTTTAAAATCTCTCCTTAAATCTCATCCCTTTAGTTGTTCTGCTTGCTATTTACTACACAGAGGTGATGGAACTCTTTATCCACAAGCTTCCTCAACTTCCTGTCACTACACACTTACAAACTGGTTTTTTGTTTACACCTAAATGTTTTTATTTCCTTTTTGTCCTGTGTAAGAGGCCTCCCTCCTGATGCATAAGATGATATTCCCTTGTATTCTGTATCTGATTTCCTCCCACCAGTTGCAATCTTGTTATTTATTATATATTCTCTTTTATACCTTTAACATCCATCTTGACACATTATTTCTTTTCTCCATGTTACTTTTAGCTCTCACCTTGCTTTTACCACTTTGCAACTAAATTCTTGAAATTTACCATACTGTCTCTAGTTTTTCACCTCATACTTATTCAGTCTTCTGACCCATGTCTTTACTAAAACTTTTCTTTAAGGTCCCTAAATACCTCCTCTTTGCTAAATAAATGGAAACATTATTGTCACCATCTTATATAATCTTTCTGGAGCACATGACACATTCAACAGCCTCTGTCTTCTTGAAATACTTTTCCTCTTGGCTCCCATCATCTATCACTCTTCAGGTTTTCTGTCTTCCTGTTCAGGCCCTTTGGTTTTGTATAGAGACTCCTTATATTCCGTCTCTTCCTTAACTGTTCATTGCCAATGCTTTATTCTAGACTATCATCTAAAAAAAATGAGTAAATGTCTTTTATAGTAGTTTCACATGACTATGTTTTCTCTTGATTGAAACAGGCAGGTTTTGGAAATTGTGTATCTTCATGGTTTTTAAAATGATCTGTTTGAAGAAATATTGAAGCATGGATTAAGACTCTATCTCCAGATAGTGACACTGAACTGATTTTATAAACTTATCTTCTGCATTTTCTAAGTGAATAGCAGTTTTAGCTAAATGTAGTAGAAATTGGTCTCTACTAGTATATCTAAAAATTTTTTTGGTGGCAGGACACTTAACTTTTCTTGAGGACACCAAAGAACTTTTTATCTTTCTGGATAAGGTGTTTTAATGATTATTGTATTAGAAATTTTAATATTTATTCATTAATTCATTTTACAATGACAGTAATAAACCCAACATAAAATTATGGAAAATAACTATGCTTTGCAAAACAAAAATAAAAATCATGAGGTGGTGGCATATTTTACGTTATTCCTAATCTTTGTAATGTCCAATCAAGAAAGCAGAGGAGTTGAAGTTTGTGCTTGCCTTTTCTTATGACCACATCAGCATTACAGCTAAATTATAGAACAGTCAATCTGGAGAACCATCTGAAGACTTGTTGGACAGTGGTCCTATAACTAAAGTTATTAAGAAGAAGCCATGTCAAGACTGGTAGGAGGGACAGAGATGCAAAGTGGGCTGGCCCTATACCCACAGATGGTAGTTGAGAATTGGGAAGGATATCTCAGCTGCAGAGAGGCCTCATATATGCACCATTGGAGGCTCTTTCAGCATTGGGCTGCCAGACTTGATCAGGTAATCAGCTGCAGTCTTTTCTTAAAAATTCTTGAAGGTCCACAGGAGCCAGGCAGGCAGCAACTGTCCTCAGTGTGCCTTTTGCTGAGTGTTTCCAGGGTTGGCACTAGTGCCAAATCTGAATCTGCATTCACCTGGTGAACACAACTCACCCCACCCTAGTGACTTCCCAGACTCTGCATCACCCAACTCATGTGTAGCCTGAGACTCTTTCAGTGGTGGAGCCTTATGAGCAGCTGGCAGGTGGCAGCAGGCCTCAGGGTGTCCTGTGCATTTTGCTTAGTGGTCCCTGGTCTGGTACTGGTGCTAGCCAGCTTTGGTTGGCAGCATGGCCTCTCCCATGCGCCTACAGGCCCAGCATGGGCAGCTGCCAACCATGGATCACCTTGAATGCCCTACCAGGTAGCCCTGGGTGGTCATAGGTAGCAGCTGACCTTAGCCTGCACCAGAGCCCCACATAAGAGGCCTCAGAATCAACACACATGGTAGCTGGTTTCAGACCACAGTAGAGTACCACCTAACTAGCTCCTCAAGCAGCACTCACAATGGGTGGTCTTAGCAGGAATTAGATCCCTGCTGGGGTGAATCTTGTTCTGTAGGGAGAGCTACCACACAGCAGCTTATGATCTGTGGTTGTGGTTAGTCCTCACAGCCAGTTAGCCTGAAGGTCAGCCCTATTTTTTGATTGTGCCAACAGCAATCAAGGTCCAACTACAATAGGAGGGTACATTGCAACTTACACAAGGGATGTTCCTGAAGCATCCTGCTCAGGTGATCGGCAGCCTGTGCCACTGGGCCTCATGGGTCATCTATTAACATAAGATTGGGAGACATAGCAGATCTATCTAATACCTAGAAGCAAACACAGAGAGGTAGCTGAAACGAGGAGACACAGAAATATGCCCCAAATGAAAGAACAAGAGAATTCTCTAGAAAAAGAATTAAATGAAATGGAAGCAACCAAAATACCAGATGCAGAGTTAAAAACAATAGTTATAAGAATGCATATGGACCTTAAGGGAAGAATGGATGATCTGGGTAAGAACTTAGGCAAAGAGGTAGTATTAAAAAATAAACTATAAAAATGTTTCATAGAAATTATAAAAAAGAACCATTCAGAAATGAAGAATACACTAGAAGGAATCCAGTAGATTAGATGAAGCAGAGGATCAAATCAACAATTTGGAAGATAAGGTAGCAGAAAACACCCAATCAGAACAGTAAAAAGCAAAAAGAAATTTTAAAAATAACGATAGTTTAAAGGATTTCTGGGATAACTTCAGACATAACATTCACATCACAGAGGTCCCAGAAAGAGAAGACGGAAAACAAGGAATTGTGTATCTATTTGAAGAAATAATGACTGAAAGACTGAAAATTTCCATAACCTGGTAAAAGAAATAGACATACAAGTCCAAGAATCCAAAAAAAGGTGAACTCATAAGGGGCGCACATTGAGACATAATTAAAATGCCAAAGGTTAAAGATAAAGAATCTTGGGAATCTTGGAGTGTTTTTGTTTGTTTGTTTGTGTTTGTTTTTTGTTTTGTTTTGTTTTGTTTTTGGTACATGCCCCTAGCGGGAATCCAACCCTGGACTCTCTGGTCCGCAGGCTGACGCTTCAACTGCTGAGCCAAACCGGCCAGGGCAAGATAAAGAATCTTTAAAGTAGCAAGAGAATAGCCATTAGTCATCCACAAGAGGGATTCCTTGTAGGTCAGTTGTGTTCTCAACAGAAATGTTGCAGTCCGGAAGCAATTGGCATGAAATATTGAAAGTGAAGAAATGCAAGGACCTACAACCAAGACTACTCTTCCTAACAAGGCTATCATTTAAAATTAAAAGAGAGATGAAGAGCTTCCCAGACAAGAAAAAGCTAAAGGAGTTACCACCAAACCAGTATTATAAGAAATGCTAAAGGGTCTTCTTTGAGAAGAAGAAGAAAGTGGATCATAAATACAAATAATAAAATGGCAATAACTACATACCTTTTAATAATAATTTTAAATGTAAATGGATTAAACGGTCCAATCAGAAGGCATAAGGTAGCTGAATGGAAAACACCACTCATAGATATTTTGCGTATAAGAGACCAACTTCAGATTGTTAGACAAAAACTGAAAGTAAAGGGATGGAAAAAGATATTTCACTCAAATGGAAAAACAATCTGGGATAGCAATACTTATGTCAGATAAAACAGACTTTAAAACATGGGCTGTAAGAGACAAAGAAGGACATTTCATAATGAAAAAAGTATCAATCCAATGGGCAAATATAACTCTCATAGGAACACCTAAATATATAAAGCAAATATGGACAGACATAAAGGGAGAGATTGACATTAATACAGTCATAGTAGGGGACTTGAACACCTACATGATGTCAGTGGATAAATCATCTAGATCAAAAATATGAAAACCATAGCCTTAAAAAACACATTAGTCACATGGGTTTAATTGATATTTTTAGAGCATTTCTCCCCCAAAGCAGCAGAATATACATTCTTTTTAAGTGCATATGGAACATTTTTCCAGGATATAACACGTTAGTCCACAAAACAAGTCTTAATAAATTTAAGAAGACTGAAATACCAAGCTTGTTCTTTGTCCACAATGCTATGAAACTGTAAATAACAAGAAAAAATTGAAAAACAAACACATGGAGGACATACACATGGTCAATCAACATGAAAAGATGCTTAATGTCACTAATCATTAGAGAAATGCAAATTAAAGCACAATGAGATATCACTTCATATCTGTCAGAATGGCTATTGTCAGTAAATCATTTATTAATAAATGTTGTTGAGGATGTGGGAAAAAAGGAGCCCTTATCCATTGTTGGTGGGATTGCAGATTGATGCAGCCACTGTAGAAAACATGGAAACTCCTCAGTAATTAAAAATAAAAATACCTTATGACCCAGCAATAATTCCCCTTCTGGGTATCTATCCAAAGAAATCCAGAACACTCATCTGAAATGATTCGTGCATCCTTATGTTTATTGCAGCATTATTTACAATAGCCAAGAAATGGAAGCAACCTAAATGCCTGTCTATAAATGACTAGGTGAAGAAGATGTGGTAAATAAATACAATACAATAAATAAATACAACTGAAATATTACTCAGCTATAAAAAAAGAATGAAATCTTACTATTTGAGACAACATGGATGGACCTAGAAGGTATTATGCTAAGTGAAATAAGTCAGAAAAAGACAAATACCATGATTTCATTTTTTTTGTGAAATAACAAAAAATAAAAAGAAACTGACTTATAGAGAGCACACTGATTGTTGCTAGATGGGAGGGGAGTTGGGAAACTGAATGAAAAAGGTGAAGGGATTAAGAAGTATAAATTGGCAGTTACAAAATAATCTCAATATAATGTACAGCATATGGGATATAGTCAATAATATTGTAATAACTATGTATGCTGCCAGGTTGGTACTAGACTTACTATAGTATCACTTCATAAGTTGTATAAATGTCTAACCACTATAGTATATACCTGAAAAAGAATAAAATGAAATTGCCCAGGAAAAAAAGGCAAAAGGAAGTACTTAATATATATATATAGTCTTCAATTCTTATACTTTTTATATATCTATGATTATTTGTATAAAATTAATTAATTAGCCCTGATCAGTTTGGCTCAGAGGTTAAAAGCATCGGCCCACAGACTGAAGGGTTTTATGTTCGAGTCCCAGTTCCCAGTCAAGGGCATATTACTTGGGTTGCAGGTTTGATCCCTGGCTCTGGTCGGGGTCATGCAAGTTAATTAACAATTAATTAAAAAAATTAATGACTAAAAGTAAAATTGTTAAATTTCAGAATGTTCTTAAAGTTATGCCCATATTACCAAATTATTTTCCAGGGTAGATATACTAGTTTACATTGCTATCACTAGAGAATGAACATTTCTTTTATGTTACCTTTGCCAATGCCTGATCTTATAGTTAGGAAAAAAATGGATTTTTAGTGTATGAGAATTGCATGTTTATGTATCATTTACATTTTTTTCTTTTTATAAATTGCCTATTTATGTCCTTTGCCCATTCTTTTTTTAATTGGTAAGAATTCTCTCTATATAAAGAATATCAACCTTTTCTTATGTATTATGTGTACTTTCATTAGATAGTTTTTGAAACCTCTGCCTTCTTAAATGTGCCATTTTAATGATATTTAATATTTTTCTGATGACAGAATCTTCTATATGAATTAGTTTTAATAAGGCAATTCATTATCTCTAATTATTTTATCTAGTAAAAGTTATATGCCCTTTAATGATTGCTTTGTGACTGAAAAACATGCTTTAGTATACTTTATACATTTATTGAGAAATTGTCATATTCCAATATAACATGTGTAATCAAGTTTAATCACAGATAATAGAGCTCCCTCAGTCCCCATGTGTGAATGGATAGTGGACATTCTAATGTACTTGTACGTGACAGTGATGTCCATTTTCTTGTGCTTTAAGCAATCAAGTAGAACTGCTTTTCTTCATTGTTCTTTTGTTTCTTTATTTTGTTTCTTTACTCCACATTAAGAAATGGTGATCTTAAGTGTTAAAAGTATAATTTGAGAAGGCACCTCAGTTTGTAATTGGTCAAGCCCAAAATAGTCATGTGTCAGGATAAAAGTAAGTAAAATTCTCATCTCCAGGCTTCTTGGCATTATAGCAAATGAGGGTGAGATGTTGGGTGGCAGTGCCAGTAGCCACTGAAAACTTCTACGTATTATAATGAAATAGCTCTTCACACCACTCTTACTTTTTTTCCCCTTAACCATCTTTCTCTCCCTCCTCCCCCCGCATTGGGAAATGGAAATGGAAATAGAGATATAGTATCAGATCCACTGAGGAGATGAACAGTTCTAATCTAAGGAATTAATACAAATCACTTTTAATGAAAATGTTATATAGATCCTTCAGAAATTAGTTCATGTACATATTAGTATAAGATGACTTAACTATGTTTAGTTACAAATCAGTTGTGTAACTAATAAAAAAAAAAAAAACTATGGAAGCAATGTTGAACACCTAATGTAACCTTTATTTAGTACTAATGAATAAGAAAATCAAGGAGGTAATGATTCTTTTATATGAAGTATGTAATATTAAAGGCTTTGGTATCGTGAATGCTTAGAATTTATAGTTGAGTTTTTTTAAAGTTATCTTTTAAAAATCCCATCTCCTAACCAAAATTTCTATTCCCAGCAACCCAGAATTACTCCCAGAAAATCCAGGAACCTTAAAAATGTTTGGCTTTTGCTCGACCAGTGTTGCGCAGTGGTTAAGCCATGAACTAGGAGGTTGCTGGTTCGATTCCTGGTCAGGGCACATTCCCAGGTTTTGGGCTCCATCCTCAGTGTGGGGCATGCAGGAGGCAGCCAGTTGATGTTTTCTCTCATCGATGTTTCTAACTCTTTCTCCCTCTCCCTTCCAGTCTCTCTAAAAAAGAAAAAAATCAATAAAGAAAAAGAAATTGGCATTTCATAAATCAGCCATATTGATTTTAATCCTTTAGGGAAACACTGTATATTTCTTTTATCTTTTAGAAGTATGTTAATCTAATGAAAGGCTCTATTATTTTAATTTATATAAAGATTAGTTGAAAAAATTCTCTAGTTTTTGATACATAATTATAGTTTCTGGCAAGTAATGGAGTTTTTGTTTTAAAGATTCTGACAATGGAGATATTAATTATGATTATGTTCATGAGTTATCATTGGAAATGAAGCGTCAGAAGATACAGAGGGAATTAATGAAGCTGGAACAAGAAAACATGGAGAAGAGAGAAGAAATTATTATTAAAAAGGAGGTATGGCATTTATTGAAATATATGTTAATTAACATCAACATGGATATTGATTAGAGAACTTATTAGCTGCTTAGTACATCTTAAATCATATTAGGCTATTGATATATTGGTCAACTTGCTGTATATCAGTCACTTCACATGTGTTAATCATTTAATCTTCACATTACTCTGTTAGAGAAATAGGAAAGATTTTTCCTATAGATCCGATGAACAAAACTAAGGTTCTCTTGCCTAAAATCACCAGCTAATGCAAACTGGGATTTGAATATACATATGTCTGTTGTTTAGACCCGTGCTATTTCTAGAGTACTTGTTTCATTTCTGAGGAGGAGAGAGAGAGAGAGAGTTCATTTTAATATAATTTGTGATTATTTTAGATTTTGAAAGTTCATAACTTCATTTTGTTTTATTAGTATTAGTGTTATTTAAGGCAGTTAATTAGTGTTTTGTTTAAAAGTACTGGTTCAAAAGTCATACTGTTATCAATATATGGCTATTATAATATTATAATGGCTATTATAAATACTTAATATTTCATCTAAATTCTGGTATGATTTTAAAACACATGCTTTATTACAACTATGATTGGAGGAGTTTCTGAATTGGCTTACTGAAATTTTCTTGAAAGGTTTCACCAGAAGTGGTTAGATCAAAGTTATCTCCATCACCTTCTTTAAGAAAGTCTAGCAAATCTCCAAAGCGAAAATCAAGCCCTAAGTCATCATCTTCAACTAGCAAGAAGGACAGGAAGACAACTGCAGTATCCTCTCCTTTGTTGGACCAGCAGAGGTCAGTAGGATGATAAATAGTGCTAGAAAGAAATAGCTCTTTCTGAAGTGATATTCTAAAGAATTAATAGATTACAAAATGGCACTTTTAATACATTCAGTATCTAATGTAAGCTTTTTTCAAAAAAAGTATGAAATGTTTCAGTTCAAAAGAAAATAATAGAGAAGAAAAAAACAAATGTCTCACATATGCGTATGCTTTAGAGCTTTTTATTTATTTTTATTTTTTATTTATTAATTTTTTTATCCTCATCCGAGGACATTTTTCCATTTCTTGTTCAGATAGAGTGGGAGGGAGGGAGAGAGAGAGAGAAACATCGACGTGAAAGGGACACATCAAGTGGCTGCCACCCACACAGCCCAACCAGGACTGGGGATAAACTACAATCAAGGTACATGCCCTTAGCGGGAACTGAACTCAGGTCTCTCTGGACTGCAGGCCAATGCTTTAACCACTGAGCAAACCGGCCAGGGCTAGAGCTTTTTATTTTTTAAGAAATGAAACATAATAGAGACATGTCCTGTTTTTTCTCTCTTGAATTTGGTTTTCATGATACTTGTGCATGTCTTTATACTTTCATAATATGTATGATTTTGTAATATATAGTAGCATTCTCATTTGTTAATCTTAATACAGATATATTATAACTTTCCTTCTGCAACTTTCCACTTAACGTGTTTTTACACTTATGTGTATTGATATATGTAGCCTTAGTTGTTTTTAGTATTTGTGCTATATATTTATCTACCTGTTAAACATATAAATTGTTTCTAGTTTTTAGCTATTAGAAATGATACACAATGAACTTAATTCTTGTCTCCTTGTGTACTTGGTCAAGAGATTAAATCCTTTATAGTATATATATAGCAGTAATAATATATTATTTAGTTTTATTGTAGCAGCCAGTTGAAGAAATAAAAACAGAAATGATTAAATATTATTATATTGCAGGACTGAGAATAAGGCAGGAGAAGCCCTGTGCTATTTAAATTGTAATTATATTTAAGAAACAGCTAAACAAAAACCTCTTCCCAACTTTTGACCAGTTGGTAAACTCTGTCTATCTGAACTTATAGTCAAATTCATATTATACCCCCTCCTTCTAGTTTCTGGAGGCTTTAACCCTATTTCAGATTCCAGTTACTTTTTACCTAGATTATTACATCATCTTCTAACTATATTGACTTTATCTAGTGTCTATTCCCCACACATATAAAGAATCTGACACCCCTACCCATTTATTTTACAAATGTTGTAAGAAATCTTAAGAGAACAATTCCAATTAATTTATTATACCATTGAAAAACTCTATGGTTTCCATTCTCATGAGTAAAATTCAGATTTTTTAGAATGACACTTATACATTCATCTTTTAGTCTTGCCATATTTTTATCCATTCTTTCATCTTTAATCCTTCAGTGTCTAACTCAAATTTTATTTTTTCTACTAAGATTTCCCATTTTTGCTTACTGAACATAATTTATGTTCCCTTTGTGTGGATCAGATTTTATTTATACCCCCCTCTTAATATTAATTGTTGTTTGCATTATATTCTGGCTGTAGCATATATGTTTTACAACCTCTGTTCAATTTAAGCTCCTTGGGATCTTGATGGTTTATGTTCTGTCTCTCCACGGCACCTAGTTTGCATAGAGCCTTGCATTTTAATAAGGCACTCTGTAGAGTTGACTTGATCCTTTCCTTTGCTCATGGGATTGAGTAAATATTGCAAAGGATATGGAAGAAGCTGAACTATAAAGTGATGCAATTTATCCCCACTTGCTCCATATCCACTTGGCTAGCCAATTATTTATTAACTTTTCCTCAATTTCATTCATTTTCCCCAAAAAAACAGCATACCAGAAATACTATTTTTATTTTTTCTATTTATGAAATCTTTGAAATTTAAACTCTTCATAGAAAGTTTTGATGACTAGATGAGCAGTTAGTTATATCCTGTTCTTTCTCTTACTGCTTTTTAGTAGCTCACTTATCTTTTGATGAATATTTAGCATGAATAATTACTTATATTGATTTAACTATGATATTTCTTATATACTATGATGTTGTTGACTTTAAGATGCACCATTAATTTAATAATAGAAGCAGAAGGATCTGGGAACCAGTACATTATAGGAATAAAGAAAACATTGAATTGCATATACCAAACTTTCATTGTGAGATAATAGCCTGATAGTGAGCTTTATGTTGATGTGTGCAATATAATGTGGTTTAGAATTAACAAATGTATTATCTGTTCTGGCCATCTACATTGTTTCCTAGTTTTTATTATGTAAATTTTTATTTATGGCTCTTTGTACAAAAATATATTAAGTATCTCGAAAACTCTTTAAAAGAACTAATTTTGGGGAGAAAGGATCTAAAAATGATAGAAGTATATAATTGAGCTGTATCATACAAATAGGAAGTGGGCTCTGTACCACTAAAGAATAATCAGTTGATGCCCTGGCCAGTTTGACTCAGTGGTTAGAGCATCGGCCCGTGGACCAAAGAGTCGTGGGTTCGATTCCAGCCAAGGGTACGTACCTCAGTTTGTCCCTGGCCCTGGTTGGGGTCGTGCAGGAGGCAACCAGTCAATGTGTTTCTCTCACATCAATGTTTTTCTCTTTCTCTCCCTGCCCCCTGCCCCTTCCACTCTATCTAAAGATAAATGGAAAAAATATCCTTGGGTGAGGATTAGGAAAAAAAAATCAATAGGTAGTGAAATGAGTAGCTAATAAAAACTTGCCAGATATATGAAAAGAAAGGGCTAATTAAACACAGTACTTGACTGAATATTCAGTGTTGCAGAAAACAGGAACAAATTTAAATATTAATTTATAAGTTTAGTACAGTTTGGGAGGATATTGTATTGACATGATGAGAGCAGTTGATAAAAATATAAGCAATCTAAACAAAGATATTTTGGAAGAAAACTAATTTTTTTAAATATGTTTTTATTGCTTTTAGAGAGAGAGAGAGAAACATTGATGTGAGAAACTGATCGGCCAACTCCTGCCCGCCTCCTGCTGGGGATCCATCGGAAAACCGGGCATGTGCTCTGACCAGAAATAGACCAAGAATCAGACCTGGGCCTCTCAATCCACTGAGCCACACTGGCTGGGCAGAAAAACAATTTTAAAACTGAAAATAGCACAATTAGGAGATTGACAAATTTAGAATTAGGAGAATCAGTCTTGCCGAAAAGAAAAATTACCAAGCCCTGGCCGGTGTGGTTCGGTGGTTAGAATGTTGGACCACAGACACCAAAGGGTTGCAGGTTTGATTCCTTGTCAAGGGAACGTACCTGGGTTGTACATTCGATCCCTGGCCCCCAGTCTCCCATTCGGGCATGTGGGGGAGGCAACTAATCCATATGTCTCTTTACTCCTTCCACTCTCTAAGAATCAATGGGAAAAAATATCCTCAGGTGAGGATTAACAACAAAATATATAATTTTTAAAGGAAGTTATTGAACATATCTATACAAGGAAATTCTGTACAATCTCTAATAATAGTTATCTAAATCTACATTTTATTATAGAAACCCATGTTATATTTAGCACAAAAAAAAAAAAACTTAATAGGATTGTGTGCGTTAGGGGAAGGAGGGAAAGAGACATGGAAAAAGTGCGATCATAGATCCAAGATTTTAACAGTGGTTATCCTTGGGTGATGGAATTATGGGTGATTTTTACTTTCTTCATCTACTTTTCTATATAAAGCTTAAAAAAAAAATTCAGTTTATATTGTTTTTTTTTTCTGAAAGAATCTCTTTCTGCTTCACCTCTAACTGAGACACCTACCCTAGTAAGTAGTAGTGTTAATGATGTAAATAACAAATAAATTATTTCTTTGCTCATTTCTCTGTTTTTTCTAGATAATGATTACTAGTATACAAAATAATCAAAGGCAAGTTATTGAAAGGAATGCTATCATTTTTTAAAGGTGCTTTGTTGAAATGAAAAAATATATATCCATTAGGCCTTTCAAAAGTATTTGGACTTCTACTGATAGCTTTGTTTTACCTTCAGGAATTCAAAAAGCAACCAAAGTAAAAAGAAAGGACCTCGCACTCCTAGTCCACCCCCTCCTTTACAGGAAGATATTGCTTTGGGGAAAAAATATAAAGAAAAGTATAAAGTAAAAGACAGAATAGAAGAAAAACCAAGAGATGGAAAGGACAGAGGACGAGATTTTGAAAGACAAAGAGAAAAAAGAGACAAGCCCAGGTAAATAGGATTCTGTGTTTTTTAAAATCTTACTTTTGTAGAATCTAAAATGCTTACTTTGCAGAAGCTTTTAGTCATTACTGTAATGGATTTTTTACTGTTACTAAACTGTATATGTATATTAAATAATTCCCATATTGACTTACGGATAATTCAATAAATATTAAATTTTTTTGTTATTTAAAAAAATAAAATTTCCTATCTTCATTTTTAAGGGTATAGCTTCAGTGGTGTTACATATATTCACATTGTCATGAAACACATCTCCAGAACTTTTACGTCTTGCAAATCTGAAACTCTAGACCCATTAAACAACTCCCTTTCCCTCTCACCCTGCCCCCAACTTCTCAACCCCTAGTAACCACCATTCTTTTTCTGTGAAACTGACCACATTAGATACCTCATATAAGTGGAATCATTTTGTCTTTTTGTGACTAGCTTATTTCACTTAGCATAATGTCTTCAGGGTTCGTCCATGTTGAAGTGTGTGACAGGGTTACCTTCCTTTTTTAAGCTGAGTGATTTTTCAATTATTTGTGTATACCACATTTATCCATTTATCTGTTAATGGATATATGGGTTGCTTCTATCTCTTGGCTATTGTGAATAGTGCTATTATGAATGTGGGTGTAGTATATTGATTGATTTTTCTGGTTCACAAGATTTATGAAATGCTTACACATGTGATAGGGATGTTTTACTCTTGTTAATTTTTTAATATTTATTTTCAAAATTTTTTCATGAAATTAATATTTCCTCAAGAAAACATTTAATTCTAGAGTCCTCTCAATTGCTCTTTTCTTTTTGAGTTACGGTGTAATGAAAAATGCATAAGCCTTGAATTTACACAAACAATAACTTGAATCTTGGCTCTGCCAGTTACTTGATGTGAGGCCCTGAATAAGTTATTTGTTTTCTTTGACCCTCTGTTTGTTCAGCTGTAAAATATGCATGATACTGCCTCATAGGGTTGAGATGAGGATTAAGTGAAATAAAGCTTAAAAATATGAGCAAAGTACTCGGTAATTGTGCTCTTTATCTTTCTACTTTAGTAATAAATTACAACATAGTAATATTTAAACATTCTACCTCAGTATCTATATTTTTAAAGGTGCACTGGATGGTTCTGGTGTTCAGCAAAGGTTGGGAATCATAAATTGAGATTTATTTTCTCATTTAAAGAAGCTCAGAGGGAGGAAGTCTGGGACTGATACACTGTTCCACAAAGTCATGACACTAGATTCCTTGTGCTTGCTTTCTTTTCAAACAAAAGGTTAGATATCTCATGGTTCAGTGTGACTGCTAACACTTTAGCCTTTACATCCATATTTCAGGCAGCAGAAAAAATGAAAGGAAGAAACCCTTAATCTTCTTAAAAGTCTCATACACTATTTCCCCTTAATCCTGTTGGCCAGAATTCAGTCACATGTCTCTATCTAGTGTCTTGGAAATGTAATCCTTTAGCTGGACATATAGCTTACCCAAGTAAAATTGGGGTTACCAAAGAGCAAGGAGAGAATAGGTGTTGGGACAGGTCATTGCAGTCTCTGCTACACCTGTGAGGTGCCATTTCCCATATTAAGTAACAGGATTGTTAGAGTAAAACCGGTGTTATCTGACCCTTTTTCTGGAAAGCTCTGTGAACTGGTATTTGTAATATTCAGGATAAATTATCTACCCAGTAAGCAGTTACCATAACTTTATAAGTTCACCAAAACCCCATCTTTTCCCAAAAATATATTTTGGTGATAAGCTTAGTCCTTTCTTTGTCTTGGTAAGAGAACTTATCCAACTTATTTAAATGAATCAGTTTGTTTTGTTTTGTTTTGTTTTTCTCTCCCCTGTGGTGACTTAGAAGAACCAGAATGATTCTCTCAACTGTTGCTAGGCTCTAGCAACATTGTGTCTTACTGGAGCAATAAGAAAATGGTTAACTGGAACATCCACAATTCTTGAACATATTTTCCTAAAATATACTCTGTATTTTATTCCAGCCAGTAGGTATGTTTTGAAAATGACATATAAATCAAATAAAAATATGTTAAATGTTCTTGTTGACATACAATTTAAGAAGTCTTTATTCTTCTCTGATGGTTCTTGGTGCTCTTGTTTTGTAATTGTGACCCAGAAATCTCTGAGAGGTGTTTGTTAACATGTGTCCCTACATAGTTCACCATTGAAATGGTAACACTTTTGTATTATGAGGAATTGAGGTTGATTCTTCATTTTCCAGTTTTCCTTTCTGGCTATCTTCATAAGGAACAACAAAATATGCCTAGAACTCAGCCTTTACTAAATATATAGGGGGAAAAAAACTTAACTTGGTTTATTTCTTTTGACTAAGGAAATGAAGCAGCAGAGCTAGGAGTACTGAAGGACTGCATAGGAGTTCTAATGCCATATATGACAAGGTTGAAAAATGGCGTTTTCATTTAGGAGAAATTGCTTTTAATTTCCAGGATTTTTTAAAGGTGGATATGTTATTTTAATTTATCTCCATCATTGTGAATAAAGAATTTATTTCATTCTGAAAGCACTCTATTAAGAATCTTTGTCACTGCTTTCAGATTGGTGGGGGTATGTAATTAAGGTTAGTATCTAAATTCCTTTTGGAGAAAATTGCCCTTTAAAATTAATTTAAATGTTATAATAGGCTCATTTAGGAGTGTTTTAGTTATCAAGATATGTTGTGCTTAAATAAAAGTACAACAGGCCCTTAAATAATATCATTTTGTTCAACATCATTTTATTATAGCATTGATGAGGTATCATAGGAATGTAATTCTTGTTTATATCAATTAGTCTGTGGTAAAATTAGTTTTGTTATACATTGTTTCACTTGAAGTTGCAGACCCTATCAACAACATTGAGGACTTACTGTATGCTAGTTAATCGATTTATTCATCCAACAACAGTTGAATACCTAGTGTGTGGTAGGCACTGCTCTAAAAGCTTATGATGCAACAAAAATGTTGTCAGAACTTTGTTAATACAGGGTATAACTAATAACAGTAATCACGTGTGTGTAAAATAATATCTTTCTGAAGATGTATTTTTTCCCCTCCTTCTAAGTAAGAATTACTATGCCTATTTAGTATGGAGAATTGCTTGATTTCCTATTGAGTTACTTTAAAAAGTATGCATATACATGGGACAGATGATGCAACAAAACCACATGATCCTTTAAGTCCCTGTCTTCTGTGTCTTAGTTCCTTCCACACCCTTCTAGATCAGAGGCTGTTAATCTAAGATCCACTGATGGATTTTAGGGGTCTGCAAATTTCTTAATATTTAGGTAAAATTTTGCCAGTGTGTTTTGCTGAAGGAGAGTACTCATATCCTCCCAATAAAATTTATGATTCTCCCTCTCCAAATATTTTTAAGAATTCTTAATCATTCTGTAGGCCTCTGTCACTGATCTGGTATTCAAGATTTGAATACTTTCCTCACAAACTTTCATTGGCCACATTAACTTTGTTAAGAATATATTCTTTTCCCAGAATATTCATTAATTTGAATAACACTGAATTATGTCATGTAGTTGCTTTTGAAGTAAATAGCTTGGAGGCCACAGTTATTAAAGGAATGTTTTTATTAATGTCTTTTAGTTTGAACAGTAGACTTTGCTCAGCTATGATTTATTTATCTAATATTGATCAAAGCCTGAATACCACTTGTTCATAAAATAAAAGCCATATGGATTTATTTTATTACTCTGCTTTTAGAAACTAGCATTTTTCCATAATTTTTAAAATAAACTTTTCATGACCTACTCTGAACAGAAAATAATAAAATCTTGATTACCTGGAATTCACCTAAATCATTTTTATTCTTTAATTTGGTTTAGGAGAGATGTATCTCAAAGGAAAACTCAAATTTAATATTTAGTCAGAAATGTTGCTTGTGAAGTGAATATTTTGTATCAATCAATATTCCTAACCTAACCTATTACATCTAGATAATCCTAAAGTAGATATTTACAGTGATGTTTCAGTGGACCTGTAATATCTTCCTTATCAATGAAAATCTGTATCCTATATACTTTGCTGAATCAGGAAATTTAATCAGATATCAAGTGTTTAAACAAAAACTTTATGGCTACTAGTTAATCAAAGAAGTTAGCTAACTGCCCTGGCTGGTTTGGCTCAGTGGTTAGAAAGTCAGTCGGCTGACCAAAGAGTCGCGGATTTGATTCCAGTCAAGAGCATATACCTTGGTTGTGGTTTAGTCCCCAACCCTGGTCAGGGTCATGGGGGAGGCAGCTAATCAGTATGTCTCTCTCCCATCGATGTTTCTCTCTCTCTCCTTCTCCCATTCTGTCTGAAAATAAATGAAAAAATATCCTCAGGTGAGAACTTAAAAAAAAAATTAGCTAACAATTTTATATAGCTCATTCTGCTGGACATTTGGTTAAATATAGTTTCACTGAAGAGTAAATATGTTTTAGTCAGAATGCTAGGTTGCAGAATTTTGTGGTTAAATGAGACAATAGCATTAAGAGCATAGCTAGTTTTTTTAAAATCACTTCATTATATTTACCTGAATATGGAAATCTACTTTATTTTTTTTTTTCTTGAAAAAACTGGGCATTTATTTTGGTGATGCGGGTTATAATAGTTATGCCTAGTATTTAAATGTGTTTTTATTTAAATGCCAAAGGGTGACTCTTATTTTTAAATGCCACTAAAAGCTTTTATAAACTCATATTTTTTCTTTTAATATTTTTTTCTTTATTGATTTCAGAGAGAGAAGGGAGAGGGAGAGAGAGAGAGAGACAGAAACATTGATGAGAGAGAACATCGACTGGCTGCCTCCCACACGCCCCCCACTTAGGATCAGGCCCACAACCTGGGCATGTGCCCTGACTGGGAACTGAACCAGCAACCTCCTGGTGCATGGGTCGACACTCAACCAGTGAGCCACACTGGCCGGACTCTCTTTTTTTCCCAATATTATATTAGTTTCAGGTGTACACCCAGTGATTAGACATTATATAAGTT